ATTAAAAACAAAAACAAAACAAAACAAAAACCCTGTTCAAGTGGTAAAGAGCCAGCCAAGAAGGTGAGCAAGCTGAGTGAGCTCTAGGACCCAAGTTCAAACCTCAGTACAAGGAATTCATTTCAATGTTTCTAACACAGGACATTTATAGGCAAGACAGTAGTCTTATTAGACTGTCAATTTTAAATAGTAAAATTACTCGAACTTTTTTTTTGATGTGGCCATTTTCATTGTATAGCAAAATATATAGCAGTTGATTATTAATTTGGATTTTCAACTTGACTGGAGATCAGTAAAGCATATTTCTGGGTATTTGTGAGAGCATATTCCAGAGACAGGTAGAGGAGGCGGATGACAAGCAAGTGAATAGTTTAACCCATGGATGGAGTCACAATTTGAATTGACTGTCGGGAGGTGGTAGGAACTCTGAAAGGTATATCGTGGTTCGAGGAAGTAGGTCATCGATCTGTGTGTGTAGGACTGTATTCTGCCCTGCACCTTTCTGCTGCTGCTCTGCTGTTTCCTGGTTATTATGACGTCTCTTTCTACCACACTCTCCAGCCATGATGGACTGAAACTCTATACTACGATAATCCTTCCTTTGGTTTGTATGTCAAGTATTGAATGGATAAAGTGTCTAAAACACCAGGCTAAAATAAAAAAACTAATCAAGTAAAATTTAATTTATAGGCTTCACAGATAGTGAACTGAAGTGTTTGTTTCTTAATTTCAACAAGTTTGCCAAGAGAATAATAATTATATAATGAGAACTTAACAAAAACTGTTTAATGTGTTAGAGGTAAGCAAAGGCTAGAGAGAGTGGAGAAAAACAACATTACATTAAATTCAGTCTGTACTTGTAATGTTTAAAGAAACTCCTTCCCACCGGGCACCAGTGGCTCATGCCTGGAATCCTACGTACTCAGGAGGCTGAGATCTGAGGATCGCTGCCCAGGCAGAAAAGTCTGTGAGACTCTGATCTCCAATAAACTACTCAGAAAAAAAGATGGAAGTGGCACTGTGGCTCAAGTGGTAGAGCACTAGCCTTGAGCAAAAAGATGCTTAGGGACTTTGTGGAGGTCCAGAGTTTAAGCCCCACAACCGACAAAAAAAAAAAAAAAAGAGAAGAAACTGACACCCTTAAAGAATTAAAAATCATGATAATTTTACAGATTAGTAAGGTCCAAGTAAGCCTGGCTAGAACACAGTTTAGGTAAAATTCTTCCTGATACTTCATGAAGTTGTATTAGTTGATATTCGTTTTTAATTTGTTTAGAAAACATAATAAGCCATAGGTTTATAGATATAGAACAAAGACTTTGACATTCTTTGGACTACTTTATCTCTAGAAGAAATAAGAAAGTGAGGAATTCAAGGGAAGGGAACAGAAAGTGTAGAAACTGCAAAAGGTGCTAGGAAGTCATCTAGTTCATCCCTCTCATCTTACGTTGAAATGTTTGTCAGTGTGGTTATTTTTGCTGTACTTCCGTTGTGCTGACTTGATTACTAGCAATTTCTTTCTTAGGACTAAACACTAGTGAAAGTCTGCTGAATGGAAGAATGGCTATTATCTGTATACTTTTTTGTTGTTGTTGACAGTCCTGGGGCTTGAATTCAAGGCCTGGGTGCTGTCCCTCAGCCTCTTTGTGCTCAAGGCTAGGGCTCTACCATTTGAGCCCCTATTCCACTTCTGGTTTTCTGGTGGTTAACTGGAGATAAGTGTCTCATGGACTTTCTTGCCCAGGCTGGCTTTGAACTGCAATTCTCAGATCTCAGACTCCTAAGTGGCTAGGATAACAGGTGTGAGCCACCAGAACCTCTGGTGGCTTAGCTGTATATTTGTATACTTAAAGGTGGCTTAGCTGTATACTTGTATAGAAATACAATATATTTTTACAATGAAATACTATAAAACATTTCACTAGTACCAGATAAGATTTAGGTTGTATTAAATTTGTGTTTCCCGGACAGCAATCCATGTAATCTCTAGAACATCTTATATGGTAGGTTCCATTTTGTTACCTGCTTAATGGATGAGAAAACAGAGGCCACAGAGGGTAATTTGCTCCAAACACATAGGAAGTAAGACACACAACTGGTATTTGATCCTAATCCCTTCATTTTGGTTAACTTTTGTATGTATGCATAATATTAACATACAGCACAATATGGAATAGTGCTCATGGTGCTGCATCTAGGAAGGAAAAGTTTAATAATAACCAGGGAAATGCCAGAACTCAGAGTACTGGTCATTTCTTATGGAAGGAGGATGGTAAATACATACTTCAACTCTTTGTGCTGTTTTAGATCATTTTAAATAATCTGACACCAATGAAGCCAAATGTTAACATCTCGGACAACTGGGTTAAAATAGGTATCTATTGTTCTCCATAAGTTTTCTTAATAAGTTTGAACTATTGTAAAATAGGAAAAAGAAAAAAGCAGATTTGGTAAAAATCCACAGGGGCAAAGCTTGGGTTTTTGATGCTTAGTTCAGTGTTTACTGTGAGGTTGTACTTGGTCACTTTGTGCTCCACCAAGTTGAGTGCTTTATGGGCTCCTGTTTAGTGATAACACATCTATCTGTGTTGCTCTCACTTCTAGTCAGAGCACATATTGAGTACATTTGAGGCAATACTTTCTAGAATTACAGTTCATGTCTGGCTCTTGGTTTCCTGACTAGTGAGAGGTGAAAGAATGCATTTTTCACCACCATATCCCTTTGGGATTCTGCAAATAGCAAATTACCACAAAATGATTCACATTGGCCTTGGAAAAGGGATGGTATTAGATTTCTTGTCAGATTGCCAAATTCTCCTCTTTCAAATTAGGCTCATTTTTGTTTTATCTGTGTTGAGCTTCAGCCAGTTGGACTTGGTTCAAGAAGCTACTTGGGTTTTAATTCTTTAGAGAGCCAGGAAGCTGGTTTCCTGGGTTAGAGATTCCTGAGGAGCATCATGTTCTCATGAAGGTTCACCATGGAGACTTGGACAATCTGCTCACTCAGATCTCTGACATGTAGCATGCAGGTTCTCCCTCATTAGTAGTCACTCATATTTCCTGACATTACTCAGTAACAATTGTTAGGTTCTCAGGCTGTGACAGCTTCTTTTCCTGCTGTGGAAACGTCTACCTTAGAACTTTTCAGCTTTGAAATCCAGTTGCTACTCTAAAAGCTTCTATACAAATACAGTGTTAAGAGTTGCTGCACACCACTTAACTTTTTAGTCAGTGAGGTTATGACAACATTCCCAGGGACACTGCTTGAGTTTGGATAACAGATAAGCTATTATGTGCTATGTGTGTAAAAGGGTAAAAATATGATTTCTAATAAATCATCCGATTTAGGATTGAGGCTTTGGCTATATGATTAAGAGAAAGCTATTTAACCTGCTGTGGGGATGATAAATAGGACTATTGTGAGTACCAAATGAGTACAACTGGCAAGGTGGCACAGGCCTGAGATTCCAGCAGGACTGGGGATGGGGTGGTGATGTTTGAGGCAGGTTCTTGAGTTCAAGGCCAGCATGTCCAAAGTGGAGAGATCCCTTTCTTACAACGAACAAACAAGAAACAAACCGCAAACATAACAAGACTATACCAAAACCCAAACCAAACCAAACGAACTGCCTAACCCTCCCCAACCAATCCGTCAATGCATACGTAAAGCTCTTTCAAAAAGCACTTGACATCTGATACATGCGATCTAAACATTAGATATTGACATTTAACGTCCGGGAATTAAATAATTGAAGGGTTTGTAAGACGACTGTACGACCTGAAATATGAAGCAATCCGCTTCTCCATCCGACCCCTCCCCGTGGCCGCCCCCAGTCCCTGCGTTCCGGGAAGTCGCAGCTGAGTGAGATCCTGGCTCGCAGCTATGCTTTTCTCCCACTTCCTAAAATCTAGGTGAAGGCGCCATCGCAAAGGTAGCCACGGATGGAAAACTGGTTTTCCGCGGTCGAGGAATGTCAGCACGCCCCAGCAGTCGGAGAAGCCCCGCCCCAGCCTCTCTCCAGCTCTCCTTCCCTTCTTGCCGGGGTTTTCACCTCGCGTCCCATCACCTGCACTGCCCAGCAGCAGTTAGGTGAAGGACAGTCGCCGAAAAGCCGCAACTCATGACCGGATCCAGAGCCCCGTTCGCCAGCCCGATTTCCAGGGTGCGCTCCCGGGAGCTGTCCGCTCCGCCCCCCAGCCCCCGAGGACGCCGGGAATCGTAGTTTCCAAAGGGTGGAGGGTGGGCCAGAAGCGTCGCTCACGCGCATTGGATCCCCTCCACTCACTTCCGGAGAAGGAAGCCTCCCGTACCGCCACGCGTTCTGCGTGCCGCGCGCAGGCAGGGGCTTCTGGGAGTTGTAGTCGCTGCGAGTGGGCGCCGTCGGTAAGGAGACGTCGCTCACGGTGCGGACGGCTTCTGGCTGCCGCTTCCCGGCGGGAGTTCCGGGGTCAGTGGACCGTTGTCGGGCGGCGGTTCTTGGCCCCCACACGCTGACACTGCGGAGGCGCTTTCCGTGACTGACCCGTCCGACGTCGCGGGCAGGCAGTTCCCGGCCCCGCGCGGTCCTCTTGGTCCTCGCCCTCTTCGGTCCATCTCCAGGAGTGTCCGGGATTCGCGGGGACTTGCTCCCCGGGAGAGGCCG